GATGGACGGCGGGTGGTTTTCAAAATGTGTCTCTCGCTTAAGCGCGGCGCACATTCGTTTTCAAACTTTGCCAGAGTTTTGCGGATTGAGGGCGGGTCGTTTTCAAAATGTGGTTTTCGCTTTAGCGCGGCTCACATTCGCTTTAAACTGTGTAAGAGCTTCACGGATTGACGGCGGGTCGTTTTCAAAATCTGGCTCTCGCCTTAGCGCGGCGCACATTAATTTTAAACATTTGCAAGAAATTCGCGGATCCAAGGCGGCTCCTTTTCAAAATGTGGCTCTCGCCTTAGCGCCGCGTGCATTCGTTTACAAAATGTTCAGGAGTTTCACGGATTCCCATCATCAACGTATTAGACATTGCCTTTTGGACGGATTCAGGATCATGCGGGTGCAACAGTTACGTTGATTCTCTGTGTGGAAGTCCTAGGAATGGCGTTCTGGCAAGATTCTGAATGGTCAAGACGCAACAGCCAGGTTGATCCGTTGCTTTGGAATCCCGAGAACAATGTTTTGGCATGCTTCAGGACCTTCAAAAAGGTGTCTTCCAACGAGGCAGTTCCCTAGGGAGCTTGGAGAAGGGTTTACTCCAACATCGTTGATGACTCTTGGATTTACACGGGTCCTCATCCTCCTCCTCCTCCTCCACCTCCCCCCCCTTTTCTGCCTCCTCCTCCTCCTCCAACTCCTCCTCCTCCTCCTCCTCCTCCTCCTCCTCCTTCTCCTGCTCTTCTCCACGCTGATGTCCTCAAGTGCGTTCCTCATGTTTTTTTGTGATACCGCAGAGCCGTACAGCCCCTCACGCGAGGGCATTGGCCCTTCCACTGGGCGGCACTACGATGCGGCCTTATGGGGGTGAGCATTCCCCAGTCTTGCAGACTTGAACAGTGTTTTCTTGTCCCGGCGAAATCCAGGCATTATGGTTCACTTGGTTTCAGCATTTCCGCTTCGATTTCCTCAAGTGCGTTCCTTTTGTTTTGATGCCGTGATGCCCCTCATGCCGGGGCATTGGCCCTTCCACAGGTCATCGCTCTGATACGGAAGTGTGGAGGTGCGCCTTCCCCAGTCTGGCATGTTTGAAAGTTGGTGCAACGACATCTCTAGAGTTCGTGAGTTTGTCCGTTCTAGCCGATCCTTTCCCTGTCGAGGCTGTAGCCTCCAGGACGTTGCCCGGCAATGCTGGCGGTCCTGCGTTCAAAATACACGCTCGCACGAGGTATTTGATTCCACAGGGCATTGTGTTGATAGCGTTTCGATACGGCTGTACGGGGGCGACCTTCCAACTTTGTGTGCGCCTGCAACTTTTGTGCTAGAGCGGCAGCTCGTTGCTCCGTGAGCTCGCTTGTCCTGGCGATTCCGTCCGCGGACATGGTGCACGCGGTATTGCCCCGGCACTGCGGAAAAAAACGAAGCATGAAAATCAAGCAGTGGCGAAGCGTCTTGGCTCGCCTATAGCCCTACCAAACAATGTTCTAAGAACCTTTTGTGGCTCCCACGAAATGTTCTTAGAACATGTCTGGTTGGGACTGTCTTGTTTTATCACATCGGGATTATGTTATACGAACATTGTTTTTGTTCTTAGAACATTTTTGGGTTCTAAGAACATTCCGTGGTAGGACTATAGGAATACCGGGACGGTCGGTCCCTGCTCAAGAAAACGAAAACGAACGCAGGCGAGAAAGTTACAGGCTGCGAAAGCGACAGCGAAGGCCTGGTGACGAGCTGTCGGAGAGTTAGAAGACCGAGCACTCGCCCGTGCCCATGCCCCGTGCCCCCACCCATCGCGCCCGCGCACCCGTGCCCGCGCCGCCGCGTCCGCCCTACCGCGCTCGCGGACCCAAACGTAGAACACGGGACGAATGTATCACGAAATTAATGCGAAGTGAAAAACGAAAGCATAACTACATTAAGACGACCTTGAAACGACATTGAAACGAAGTGACTACGATCTTAGAACGGACTCACAACGAACGTTAAATTCAGTCAAACCAAAACGAAACGACATCAACACGAAATTCACACGAAATTAAAGACGAACGCAAAACGGATTGAATTAGAAATTCAAACGGGAATGCAACGCAATGAAATAGCGAACTCAACGCAAAATTACAATGAACATGAAACGAACGTAGAGCAACACATGCACTATTTCTTCAACATGGAATTGAAGCAATATGAAATCACGATTCATTCAAAGCGAAATCAAAGGGACATTAGGGCGAACGTAAGACGAAACGGAAACAACAGTTAGACAACTAAGTTGCAAAGGAATTACATTAAACCGAATGTAAACTAAAACAAACTTACTAAAGGAACTTACGCGAAATTCGAATCACTCCCAAATACATAAAAATCAAATTAAGACCCTCGGGATATTCAATCGGAAGTCAGTAAAGCGATGACGCTCTTGCGCTTCTCGTCATTAGAAGGGGCGAGCCGCAGTACCTTCGTATTCAATGGCACGGGCTGCAGCAACGCTGATGAAACGAATGCAAAAACGAACGGCTCTGGCGAGTTGGAGATACAAACAACGAAAAATAACGGCCTCGCGACAGTTGATAGTTAGAAAGAACGAATACGAATTTTAGAAAAAAGTCAAAAGTTTCGTCAGCTCGCAGCGCCGGGCCAGTATCCACCCCACAAGGCAGCGTTTTGATACTTTGTAATGTATGGGAATGAGCTTTTCCCAGCCTCGCACGTTGGAAAATTCTTGCGTCAGGGATCGGCAGCGTTTTACTTGGTGAGCTTGTCTGGTCTACCGGATCTGTTGCCAGACCAGGCGGTCATGGAACGGCAGTTTTTGTCATCGTGAGCACGTCCGTTCTAGCGATTATGGTTCCAGCGGTGGCTGGAGCCGCCAGGACAGCCTGGCGGCAATGCCGGCAGTTTTGCATACATTCGCAATGCACTAGCTCGCGAGATATTCATCTTCTAAGGGCCGCGCCTTTATGCCGCCGTATTTGGGTGAGCCTTCCCCAGTCTAGCACTTTTTGGTTTTCGCACGTGCTATCTACTTCCGCAGAGCAACGCTTCAAACTTGCATACGGATGTAAAGGGTTGAGCCTTCCCAGCATAGTACGTTCGAAAGCTTCTTAATATAACGGTAGCCCTTTACTTCACGAGCTTGTCCATTCTATCGATTCCGTTCCCATCGGAGCTTGTAGCCTCCAGGACACAGCCTGGCGGCAATGCCGGCGGCCTTGCCTTCACAATGCACGATCGCACGACGACGCATGTACCTCCGCAAGGCTGACATGGCTGTACGGGGGTGCGCCTTCCCCAGCCTAGCATGTTGGACAGTTTGTTCATAGAGTGGCAGCTATGCGCTTCGTGGGTTTGTCGTTCTAGCCGATCCGTCCCCAGACGAGGCGTTAGACTCCAGGGCACAGCCTGGTGGCAATGCCGGCTGTCCTGTTTTCGTTCTGGGCTTTCGCACGCTATAATTCATGCGGCTGCATGGGGGTGAGGCTTCCCCAGTTTAGCACGCTCGAAAGTTTCTTGATAAAACGGTAGCCCTCTACTTCGGGAGCTTGTCCGTTGCAGCGATTCCGTTCCCAGCTGATGCCTTAGCCCCCAGGACACAGCCCGGCGGCGGCGCCGGCGGGCCTGCCCTCAGAGCGCACGCTCGCACGACGCCTTTCCCTCCACAGGGCATCGCCCTGATGGTACGGCTGTATGGGGTTGGGCTTTCCCCAGTCTTGCACAGTCGAAGGGTGTTTTTGTCGTGGTGAACGACGGGGATTCAACTTCAGTTGGTATGCGCAATCTCGCCTTGATACCGGAAGCGAGGAGGAGGAGCAGGAGGAGGAGAAGGAGGAGGAGGAGGAGGGGGAGGAGGAGGAGGAGGAGTAGGAGGAGGAAGAAGAGGAGGAGGAGTAGTGTGCTCCCCAGTTTTGTGATGCCGTGAAACCCAGCATCCTGATTAGGGCATTGGCCCTTCCATTGGGCTGCATTCTGATACAGCTGTATATGGGGGCGCGCCTTCCCCAGCCCCTCGCACGCTGGAAAGGTTATGCGCGCCTCGGGGACGGTGGCCAGGGTGGTTCTCGGTCCCCCCCCCCCTTCGCGCGGACAGCAACAATTTACAGCAGGAAGCAGACAGTAGCACTATGGCCGGACCGAGGTATAAGATCGAGGTCAGCTTGGGTAGGGGACCCCAATGTTCTTCATGCTTGTTGGGCGCTCTTGTGCATCCTGGGGAGGGGGCTCTCGAGTGTTCTTCTCGATTTGATCGGCGGAGGGTTTCATGTTCTTGGAGAATGTTATTCTCTTTCAGGTCCGGCCGTGTAACACTGGAAATTGGGTATTGGAGCGGGCGCAGTGCAGGAAACCTCCGCCGCGCAGCCTGGTGGCCCCGCAAGAGGGCCGGCGGATTTCCGCCGAGGAGGTGCAGCGCTTCACGCTTACCTTCAAGTGATTCAAGCAGTGGCCTGCTGTTGAAAGAAAAATGTTTGCACCACTTCAGCTTGAGCTGCGAATCGGACGGCACTGCTGCTCCCCCGCGCCCCCGACTTTAATATTGATAGTTGTAGCATCTCCAGGGGCCCTTCGAACAGAAATAAAGATACATTATATTTCCGTGTGCGCGTCCGTTCTCAATGGTAAAAGTCGGGGGTGGTGGGGTCGTATCATCAGTTGTCGTGCCGTCCAGGTGGTGCAGACGTGTTTCTTTCAACCGTGTCACGTCGTCGAAGGCCTGTGCTGTCGTTCTGTCTTGGACGCCGGGCCTGGACGCAAGCATCGTTCGGAATCGGAATATCTCTGTCATGGGCGACGGGGTTCCTGAGCGGTTCAGGCCAGTGCTCTTCGACGGGACAGAGCGGATCCCCTTTCCAGAGCCGTTGGCAAATGTGCCAAAATTCTTCCGTTATGTTGATCTCTTGCAGATAGCAACACGGCAAAAGGAAAATCAGCACAACGAATGCACAATTATGATATTGCGCAACCTACGCGAATATGGACAAAGTTATTAGACGCGGAAGGCTTTGCGGGGATACGTGCCCATGCACTCTCTGACCGACATGGGCATGGGATACGCGTTTATTAACATGGTAACTACCGCGGAGGTGCAGCGCCTCACGATATCGTTTGAGGGATTCGGGACGTGGCCTGTCCCGTCTTCAAAGGTCTGCAGCGTCGTCTCGTCTCGGACGCAGGGCTTGGACGAGACATCGTTCGGCATCGGGAGGACGAGCTTCACAGCCTCCTCGGCCAGACTGTCTCGGCCGTCGGCGTCCTCGGGTCGATCATCTTCGCCATGATCGAAGCGAATGTGAGCGAGAGCCAGTTCAGGGTGATGAGCGATTTTGATACGCACGAGCGTGTTTCTACCGCAGAGTCCTTCGACGAGAAGGATGGGAGCGGTGACCCCCTCTGGGGAGGGGCTGTCCCCTATTTTGGGAAGCAGGGCTCGCCGGTGTCGAAGGCGAAACGGACACAGCGAACTCCTGCCATGATTGGTGCCACACAGATGTTGCTGCAGCTGCTGGGGGCGATTGCAGGATCGACATCTGCCGCGCCTACGACGACGTGGAGGGCAGGCCGACAGAAGCGCCAGCGAGGAGGTCGACAGTTGACCCCAGCTACAAAGGCTTCGCGGGACCGGTCGCTGCCGCAGGAGTTCAGGGGCATGCCCCAGCAGGCCGGCGCCGCGACACGCACACCTTCAGACAAACAAGCTGTTGAGGCTCTGCGGGGCGTGCTTGCCCGCCATGCCTCCAGTTCTCCCACGGCCGCGGCACGGCCGTTGCAGCCGTCGTCGACCCAGCCACGCCAGCAGGAGGGGTCAAAACCGCTCCCACCCGTTGCAGCCACCACCGTCGTCGTTGTCGTCGTCGTCGTCGTCATCTTCCCCCTCCTCCTCTCCTCCTCCTCCTCCTCCTCCTCCTCCTCCTCCTCCTCCTCCTCCTCCTCCCCCTCCTCCTCCTCTCCTCCTCCTCCTCCTCCTCCTCCTCCTCCTCCTCCTCCTCCTCATGCTCCTCCTCCTCCTCCCTCCTCCTCCTCCTCCGCCTCTGGACACTTGCATGGCAGGGCGCTGCCGTGTATCAGGGGCGCTCCATCAAGGAGCATGCGCCGGCAGGCCCGACAGTCTCGGTTTGCCAAACGGAGGCCGGGGTCAGGAAAGTCCAAGAGTGGCGCCGCACGACGGGCGCCGAGGTCGGCGTGACCCATATCGTGCTCTCCACCTTCGCCGGGGACCTGTCCTGGCAGGCAGAGCCAACTACCGAGTGGCAGGACGTGCTCGTGGATGGCGCCCGCGGCCCAGTGACCCAGGGCCCCGCCGCGCCATTCCCCCCACCAGCCTCATGGATGACGAAGTGCAGCAGCCAAAGGTGGAGACCTTCGCAGCCCGCCTCACCATCGCACAGCGGTTCGCACCGAACGAGACCTTCGGGCACGCCCAGCAGAACCCGCTGACCCTTCCAGCGTTGGTCCTCCCAGAGTTAGATTGCAAGCGTGTGGTCAAGACAAAAAGAGCCATCAGCTACGGCACGGAAGTGTCGTGCGTCATCATTGGCATGGCCTCGGAGAAGGTTGCTTTCTTTTCCTTCGTCCTGCCGCCTGGTGCGTTCTTCTCAGAGCAGCGCAGCCAGCTAGTCCCCAGGTTCAAGAGTTACCGCGAGCTCGAGGATGACGCCTCGCACTACGCCCGCATCCGCCAGATCGATGCAAAGAGTGAAGGTGGACGCGTCATCTACCGTCCCAGTGACAGCGCCCCTCTTGGAATTGTTGCTGACAAGTTTGCTGCGCCCGCGGGGTCCAACAGCCTGGCTCCCAAGTGGTGCATCACACGCGCGCCAGAGAGCTGGGCCCACGAGGATGATGCCTCTGCGCGGTGCCAAGCTCGAGGCTTCACAGCAGGCGCGGCCGCGCAGAGGATCGGCCGCCGCAAGTGGTTCTTCCGCGGTGAGCTGGAGGACAGTGCCAAGCAGTCGGCGTTCCAGTTCTCGTCTGGCATCGTGGCCAGCATGGCCGCAGCGCAGACAGCAGCAAGGAAGGACGGCCCTAAGCCGAAGTCAGCCTGGGGAGCCCCTCTCCCGCGTCGCGGGTTGCCAACGACGGGCGCCGACGACGAAGAGGAATAGCCCTACAGTGCATCGGCAGCGCCGCCAGGAGATGCTGCAGCCCCCGCGCAGCCAGCAGCCGCCGCCGCCGAGGAGTCAGCTGCAGGCCCCGCCGCCGCCGGCAGTGGCACCGCTCGCGGCCCCCCAGCCCCTCTGGCCCCCCAGCCGAAGAAGCAGCAACTGAAGCGTCGCCTGCCCCGTTTGCCGAGCACTTCGCTGCGCGGCAGAACAAGGGCCGAGGGGATCGCTTCCACCTCGCCCTCGGAGCGGCAAACCACGCTGTCCGTAAAAACGCGATGCCGCTCAAGCCGTCTGACAGTGAACCTCGAGGCCGCCTCCAGGGTGAGATGCGCCAAGCCACCGCCAGCTACACCAGCCGCCGCTTCAAGCAGGTCGACCCGACCTCCGCGACCGCCCAGTCCGCCAGCGAGGCCACCAGGGCGAGCACCACCTTCGCCGACGGCCGCTCTTCAGAGGAGCATGAAGTATTGATGTTGCTAGTTTTCAAGGTTTCCAGATTTTCCTGTTCTTCCGCGCGGGCTCCAGGGACGACTGGTTGAGCGCATTGCGTCGCGCAGGTTCTTTGCGAGATGCGCGCGGTGCATTTTTCGCGTATCGGGGCGCCCTCGGATATTCCAAGCTGCATGCTGTGTTGCTCTTGGGGGGTCCGCGAGTCGCAGCTGCCGTGGCGCTGTTTTCGAGGTAGCCCCTTCGAGTGCTGTTCGCGGGCGCAACGCACAGCGCGCGCTGCGCCCAATCGCTCGCGGCGCGGCGCGTGAATCAGCAGGCCGCGCCCGTCGGGCCGCCCGCAAAGTATTTCTGGTTTGTAGAATGATTCACAAAGCGCTTCCGTTTTTTTGGCGCAATCGGCTCCGGAATTTTGCAAAAGGAGCCCGGGAATTTCAGAGAGAGAGAGAGAGAGAGAGAGAGAGAGAGAGAGAGAGAGAGAGAGAGAGAAAAAAAAAAAAAAAAAAAAAAAAAAAAAAAAAAAAAAAAAAAAAAAAAGACAGAGAGAGAGAGAGAGAGAGAGAGAGAGAGAGAGAGAGAGAAAACAAACAAATGAGGGGTGAAATGCGCCCGCCGCGCAGGACATCTGAAGAATTCTGAAATCCGGAATTTTCCAAAATGGATTCCGGTTTTTTTCCGAAGCCTGCCCCGGGCATTTTTCAACATCGATTCTGGCATTTTCAAAAAGCAGGGTGGGCATTTTCGCAAACGTTCCGATTTCCAGCATAGGGAGGAAGGCTGCTGAACGCAATCGGCTACGCCACAGCAGAGTCGCAGCCAAGTGCATGGCGAAGATCATGAGTGATCCAGTCCGCAAGGGAGCTCGGAACGCTAAGATCAACGTCGGGAGCCGCGCCCGCTGGGCTGAGGGCTCCAATTGGGTCCAGATGCATCCGTGGAAGCGGAAGGCCATGCAGGCGAAGCAAACAGCCAAGCAACGAGCTCTCCCAGTTGCCGGGCGCGAGGCCCGCGATCGGGCGAGCAGGGCCAGGCGGCGTGAGCTCCAGAAGCTGGGCGCACAGAAGCTGGAGGCCATCCGGGCCCGTATCTTGGCAGCGCCGCGTTCAGCGGCGCCGTCGTCGTGACTAGCCTCACTTCCAGCACGTTTCACGCCTCTGCAGTTGCAAGTACCGCAGACTGCGATTTCACGACCTGCGCCGGGGCAGTGGTCCACGTCAACACCCTATTACCCTGGCTGGAAGCCTGTCTCCTCCAGCCAGGGCCTAGCCTGGCTGGGGGCCTGTCTCCTCCAGCCAGGCTCACGGCCTCAGCGCGATGGACATCAGCAGCTCACGCTACACGATGCAGTTTCACAAAGTTCAGTGACTCAGGAGTTGGGTCTGTACGTTGGGGGTGCCATTGGTTGGGCCCGCCGCGAAGAGTCGGTGGATTTTGAATCGGCTACTTCGAGTGCGTACGCTTCTATGCCATTGCAGTTGCGACCACCGTCGGCTGCGATTCCACGCTTTGCACTGGAGCAGTTACTCACGCCAATGTTCTACTACCCTGGCTGGAAGCCTGTTTCCTCCAGCCAGGGTCCAGCCTGGCTGGAAGCCCGTCTCCCCCAGCCAAGCTCGAAGCCTCGGCACGACGATCACCAGGAGCTCTTACTACACGACGCTGGCGTGGTCGGACACCACGGCGAGACGGCCGACGCGGCCTGGAGGTTCCGCCCGAACGGGCTTTGGCGAAAGGGTCTTGCTGGACAGCGCCTCCAGGAGTGTTCGACTTGGGTTTCACGCAGTTCAGTTGCCCGGGAGTTGGGCCCCTACGTCGAGAGCGCTCATGCGTGGGCCTCCGAAGAGCCAGAGTCTGTTGGATCGACTCCCTCGAGTGCGCATGCTTGCGCGCCCCTGCAGTTGCGACCGCCGCCGGCTGCGATTACACGCTTTACATTGGAGCAGTTGTCTACATCCATATCCTACTACCCTGGTTGGAAGCCTGTCTCCTCCAGCCAGGGTCCAGCCTGGCTGGAAGCCTGTCTCCTCCGGCCAGGCTTGGGGCCTCAGCACGACGAGCACCAGGAGCTCCCACTGCGCGACGCTGGCGGGGTCGGACACCGCGGCGAGACGTTCAACACGGTCTGGGGCCTCTGCCCGAATGGGCCTTGGCGAAAGGGTCGGACTTGACACCGCCGTCGGGGGCTTCCAACTTGGGCTTCACGCAGTTCAGTTGTTCACGAGTTGGGCTGCTACGTCGAGGGCGCTCATACTTGGGCCTCCGAAGAGCCAGAGAGTGCGGGATCGAGTCTGTCGAGTCCCCATGCAAGTGCAGTTTCATTTGTTTCACAAGCCCCAGGATATGTCGCCGCAAGCGCAGACCCCCTGCTTGGCGTAGGATCGTTGCCAGGCAACCACCCCATCGGCGTCATCAACGTTGCCAAGATCACCCGCGAGCGTGCTACTTCGATCTTCACGCATCTTGCTGCAGTCCACGGAGAGGCTCTCTCACACCGCGCTCTTCTCCGCAGACCGCCTGGCCTTCGTGGCCGAGTCCGAGACCCAGGTGATAGCGACTGTGCTGGACTCCACCAAGCCGAGGGTCAATGACTCCTCAAACATCATTGAGCGCCGGCGTAACTGGCACGCCCGAGCTGAAGCTGGACTGACGCTGACCGCCAACAGGAATTGGAGCAAGCTGGACAGGAAGGCGGAGCGCCCGAAAGGATCTGCCCCTTCGACCCGCCCGACCGCCCCCCCCGCCAGCTCACCAGAAGCACGAGAGCATCGCCCTTCGACGTCTTCGACGAATGCATCGGAGCTGCACGGGGTGTGTGGATACGCACCGTCGCCATCACGCCGAGATCACCGATCGCGTGAACGACCGCCAGTTAGAGTATTTCTCGCAGCTGTGCCTCGATGAGCTGTGTGACCCCAGCGACGGCTGGCCTCGCCACGGCCAGATGTTGGAGGCTATCAAGCGCGCCATCACCGCTGAGAACTATAAGGTTGCGATGGAGCGCCGTCGCCACTGGTCCGCTTGTTTTTCTGGGTGGTCCTCCCAGCTATGGAATATGGCTACGCCCTGCTTCATGCAGGCCCCACCCGCGGCGGGTTTCGATGCTGCGGGGGCGAGGTCCGAGTGGGCCCCAGTGTGGAGCCCCGACGATTACGAGTCTGATCCCTATGTCGAGAAGTGAAGGAGTGGGCCTACGGCGCGTCCTTCCCACAATCCGACAAGGCACTGGACTGGGTCCCGTCCTACCAGGCCTTTGAGAAAGCGGTCTTCAGCACTCGGGGCGCAGCTGGCCTAGACGGCTGGACGGCTTCAGAGTTGAGGCTTATCCACACCACCATGCCTTTCCTGATCGCGGAGATGTACGACGCCTGGCTGGCCACCACGAGAATGGCAGTGGCCTGCGGTGGCAGACTCCCCCAGCATGTGTCTGACGCCACATTCGGGTGGCGAGTCGTGGGCATACCAAAGAAGGACGAGAATGAGAGCAGGCCTATCAGCGTTGCTTCATGTCTACTTCGCGCTTGGCTCACGGCCACGGCGACCTCCCCCCCCGCAGCCCACGGACTCCCAGTTCGAGTGCAAGAAGGGTGTCGCCGCCATCCATGCAGTCTCAGCTTTGCTAGCTGAGGAACCATTGTTCGGGCTCGAGCTGGACCTGAGCAAGGCTTACGACAATGTGGGCCACGCCCTCGCCGCCACCGCGCTCGCCGCGCAGGGCGTCCCCGAGGCCGTCAGAAGCATCTCCCTGTGTGCCTGACGCGGATCGCGCTACTGCGCGGTGAACTCCGAGGTGGCCCCTGCCCTTTGGGCCAAGCGCGGACTCCCGCAGGGCGACAGCGTCGCCTCTGGTGCGATGGTGGCGACCCTCGTCCCGTGGAAGTGTATGCCAGCGACTGGATGGGCTTTCATGGACGACCGCTCAATCACATCCATGTCCGACGCTGACCTCAATGTCGGCCAGCAGCGCACCGTGCAGTTCGGCGCTGACGTCGGCTATGCCGAGAACGCCACCAAGCGCCAGCAGTGGTCAGCGGCGGCGGAGTCCAACTCTGAGGAGCATATGGGGCTGCTCTGCGACCCGAGCCGCCTTGAGATCCCGATCCAAACGCGTGGCGGCTGGAACAAGCTACTTGCTGCAGTGGGTGTGCTTCAGAGCTTCCCTGGCGCAGCTGGCGTTCGTGAGAGACTGCGCGCAGCATATCTTCGACCCCTGTGGATGTGGGCTGTGCTTCCCCTTGAGCTGCCGCCGAAGATAGTCGTGGGACAAGTCTTCCGTGCGGTGATCCGCATGCGCTGTACCTGGTGGCGTTCGAGCCGCTGGCGGCGCCGCGTAGCGCAGTCACATCCACGGTTCAGGCCCGCGCCTCAGGCGATTAAGGCCATCCGCTCCGTGAGACTGCTGCCCAGCAAGCACTTGGACCGAGCCCTGGCCAGCTACTTCGAGGAGCCGGGGCTGGAGTTCCTGGGCCATGACCCTGGGTGGGGCATCAGGTTGAGGGTTGACCTGGACGACGGCCCGGGAATTGTGCACGCGACGGCAGCCTGCCGAGGTCGCGGAGACACGCTCTGGGCGACCAACAACGAAACGCAACATGCCATCATAGTCGCAACGGGAGTGCGGTGCCTTCAAGGTACGCCAGGCTCACGCAACGACAGAGACGGAATCGACTATGGGGATGTGGAGGTACTCAGCAATGCGAAATGGCGCGGTTTCGTGGCCGCCCTGTCGCAAGATGACCTCCAATTTATGAATGCCTTCATGAGCGGGGCTACCCGGACACGGACCAGGACTTCGAGTCGGTCCGAGTGTAGCCGCTGCTGCCGCTTTTGCGACCATCCATTGCCCTCAGTGCGTCTCCTCTGGCAGGAGTGTCCGCAGTTTGCAGAAGAGCGGGGCCGGCTCCGAGGTGAGTTTCGACTTCCTGATTATTTTTGGCGATCCCAGCCGCGCGTTACTTCCAAGAGCGGCTGGATCATCCGAGCAGCGGCGCCTTCTTTGTCGAGGCGAGTCGCAATGCAAGTGGCGGCTGTCCGCTTAGGCATACGCCTCGTTCAGGAGAATTTTGAAGCCGATCCCCAGTGGCCTCATCACTGAGTGGATCTTCGTGGCGTTCAACCTAGAGTCAGGTTACGTCACTCACCACCTCTTTCGTTCGGTACCGGAGCAGCCCTATAATTGGCGACGGGGTTCTAAGCGTTTCAGGCCAATGCTCTTCGACGGGGCAGGGCGGTCGTCGTCGTCGTCTTCCTCCGCGTTCCTTCTCGTGCTCGCCATCGTTCTCTTCGTCCTCGTCCTTGTGCTTCTCTTCCTCCTCGTTTTCCTCATGCTCCTCCTCGCTATCCTCACGTTCTCCACGTCGTCCTTGTCATCGCCTCCTCGCCGCCCTCGCCTTCATTATTATTCTTCTTCTTCTTAGTATTCGTATTATTTGTAATGTTGTTAGTATTATGAGTATTTTTATTTTCATTATTAGTATTAGTAGTATTATTACTATGTGTCGTCTTCTTTTCGCTTTTTTGTATGATTACCATTATTTAACTTATTCGCCCAATGCGCCATTAGACTAAAGTGGCGCTTCCCGTCCTTGTCCGATCAGGTTTGTTCAGTGGGCGTCTCGCAGTTGTTCTAGAGTCACGCTCGTTTCGCCGGTCTTCTGCCGAATTTCTTCAAGAGGCGTCTCACGTTGTTTGGACCCTGGGATGGGGGCCCCTTAACCTTTTGAAACATTCCCAGAGCCCCCGAACACCAGAGGAGTGTTTCTGCCAATTGTGCTAATGTGCGTGTACTTCCTCCCTCTTGAGCTCTTCTTTTGCGCGTGGCCGATTGGCCCGTGGCTGTGCTGATGGTCCCCCCCCCCCGAGCGGGAGGAATGCGTGCGCGGTGTACATATTGGATGCGTTGGCGTTCATCGGCGGACGCTCTTCGACCAGGGGGGGATTCCTAGGATTGCTTAGGAGGCCAGCTTAGGAATCTGGCAAGTGGTAGGATCCTTGGGAATTCTTGTGGATCCTGGAGAGGCCCACCCCCAGCTGCTCCTGCTCCTGCTCCTGCTCCTGCTCCTCCTCCTGCTCCTGCTCCTGATCCTCCTCCTCCTCCTGCTCCTCCTCCTCCTCCTCCTCCTCCTCCTTCTGCTCCTCCTCCTCCTCCTCCTCCTCCTCCTCCTCCTCCTCCTCCTCCTCCTCCTCCTCCTCCTCCTCCCCCTCCTGCTCCTCCTCTCCCCCTCCTGCTCCTCCTCCGCCTCGCATCGGGACAGTTGGTAGGATCCCTGGGAATTCCTAGGATTGCCAAGGCGGCCCTCCCAAGCATCTGGCAATTGGTGGGATCGTTAGGAATCCCCAGGATTTCCTCAGAGGCCCTCTCAGGAATCTGGGAATTGGTAGGATCCCTGGAAATTCCTAGGACTCCTTAGGAGGCCCTCCAAGGAATCTGGGAAGTGGTAGGATCCATTGGATTTCTTAAGATGTCTGAGGGATCCTTCTCAGGAATCTGGAAATTTGTAAGATCCTTGGGAATTCTTAGGATTCCCTAGGAGGCCCTCAAGAATATGGGAATTGGTAGGATCCGTAGGAATTTCTCAGATTCCCGAAGAAACCTTTTAGGACCACATATGAATCGTATACGAATCGCATAGATATCGTATACGAACCACATACAAATCGTATACGGATCATGGCCACGTTCGAGCTCATGTACTTCTGTTTAGCTGAGATCATGATCGGCCGTCGGTGATCGGACCGATCGCAACCGCTGTTTCAGATGCCCAGCGGGCGGCTTAAAGGAGTTCAATGCACCCAGAAGCGCTCTTATGATCTCTCCCGTCATCGAAACCTCATCGAAGCGACCCCCAAACATCGCAACCACTTCGGACCGATCGCAACTGGTTGTGATCAGTCCGAAGTGGACGACGATCGGTCCGAAGTGATTGCGATCGCTCTCCATCCCGAGGGGCGGCCCCCCAGGGCTGGGGAGGCCATGCCGTCGTGGCGTGTCTCGCCACGCCAGGGGTCTGGGCGAGCAGCAGGGCCGAGCACACGGAGGTGCGGCAGGTTCGCTCCGCGTCGACGCAGCGGCGACGCCCGCGCGGGCGTCCCGGGGCTGGGGGGGCCATTGGGGGCCTTCAGACACCGGTGCTCCCTCCTCCTCCTCCTCCTCCTCCTCCTCCTCCTCCTCCTCCTCGTCCTCCTCGTCCTCCTCCACCTCCCTCGTCCCTCCTCCTCCCTCCCTCCTCCTCCTCCATCCTCCCTCCATCCTCCTCCTCCTCCCTCCTCCTTCCTCCCCCCCCTCCCTCCTCCCTCCTCCTCCCTCCTCCCTCCTCGTCCTCCTCCTCCTCCTCCTCCTCCTCCTCGTCCTCCTCCTCCTCCTCGTCCTCCTCCTCCTCCTCCTCCTCCTCCAGGGACACCAGGGCCAGAGGCCGGGGCGAAGTCGCCCGAGGGACCTCCCTGCCCCCGCCCAGGAGGGGGAGGAGGAGGAAGAGGGTCCAGGCAGCGGCACCGTCAGACTGCGTCGGCTGCCGAGACCGGTCCCCAGAGGCGCTCGTAGGTCCGCAGAGGCCTGCAGGGGCCTGGCATCGCTCGGACGTGTGCATTTTTTCCTCGGCGAGGGCCATCGAGGAGCATCCTTGATCATTTGGCGAAAGAACCAGGCACGAAACGGACAAAAAACACAGGGAATGGACGTCCGAGCGATGGCGAGGGGCCTGGAGCGCCAAAGAGGGTTCAGCGTGCAGACGCCGCCCAAACGCCGCGTCGATCCTGGAGGGTCTGGGGGCGAAGCTCCGCCCGCCCACCCGAGGTGGACAATCGGGAGGCGGAGCTGACGGCCGTGCTGCAGAAAGGCGGCTCGCCGGGCCGCCCACCGCGTCCCGACCGGCGCGGGGGGGCGGGACCTCCCTGATGCTGCTCACACGGTGGGGGCGTGCCCGGGGGGCTTCGGACCCTGGAGGGTTCCTTATCTCATGAGGGCGGCGGGGATATCCATGGCCAATCCACGATTTGTGTTCCACCAGCTTCGAGACCCTGGATTCCTTATTGCGAAGGCCTTACGGCCGGTGCCGCCGACCCTGAAGGCGGTGACGACGAGGACCACGAGGATGTTGAGGAGCAGGTGGCAGAGGACGCTAGGGAGCAGGAGGGGCGAGGAAAAGGAGGAAGAGGTGTGAGGGGGGAGGAGGAGGACGAGGAGGGGGGCGAGAGGGACGGGGAGGGGAAGACGAGGAGGGGGGGAGAGCAGGGGGGAGAGCGAGGCGAGCAGGGACGTATTTGCAGGGGAAGGACGGCTGACAAGGAGGGGCAGCGGTGGGTAGAGCGTGGCGAGCATGAGCAGCAGGAGACGGAGGAGGAAAGTAACGGCGAGGACGTTAATGATGATGATGATGATGATGATGATGATGATGATGATGATGATGATGATGATGATGATGATGATGATGATGATGATGATGATGATGATGATGATGATGATGATGATGATGATGATGATGATGATGATGATGATGATGATGACGACGCGGATGATGTCGGTGATGATGACGATGGTGATGTCGTTGAGGGAGGGGTGGTGGTGGTGTAAAGCCGGCGGCAGGAGAAGTCGGAGGAGGAGTAGGAACGTGAGGACGATGGTAATGAGGGGGAAGAGGGAAGGGATTAAGAGGAGGGGCTGAGGCCGAGGAGGAATGGGAGTAGGAGGCGGAGGAGGAGGGCGAGCATGGGGAGGCTCACGAGGGCGAGGAAAACAAGGGTGAGGGTGCACACACATACTCTTGTCCGCAGTGGTTCCCCGGAAAGGCTGATGGGGGACATGGACGACGTGACGACAACGACGACGACGACCACGACGACGATGACGACTACGACAATCACGACGACGATGGACGACCAACTGTTGTTTGGGCAGCGCGTCCGTGGCTGATAGAGGAAGAGGAGGGTCAGGAGAGGGAGGGAAACGGGAGTGGCGGACGACCCCAGAACCGACACAGGAAGCGAGCCCTCGGGGTGTCTCCGAACTGGTGTCCAGGAGAGTTGGGACCATCAGGGAGGTGCAGGAGCAAGAAAAGGACAGCCGTTATCTGTCGAGTGAGGAGGAGGATGGAGCAGGAAATGGAGGAGGAGGAGGACGGATAATGAGAAGGAAGGGGCTGAGGAGGAGGAGGAGGAGGAGGAGGAGGGCCAGCAGAAGGCCCGAAGCTTTTGGCCTGCCTCTCGGAGTCTCTTGGGATGTCTCCTGGTGGATTCCCTGGAGGCCTCTTTGGGCGTATCTCTGTGTTTTCCCCGGAGTCGGGATTTGTTTTCGAAGTTGGGCGCTGCGTAATGGGGGGGTCCTAAATGGGGGGGGGGCGAGGGCGGTTCGAAAGGGTACCCAAACGGTACCTAAACGAGCCCCCTGGGGGTCCGGAGGGGCCCGAAAGGGGCACGAAAGGGGACCGTTTCTGACCCTTCCATTTATGACCCCCCCATTAAGCCACGCCCAATGAAGTCGTCTTGGGGGCTCCTGGGGGTGTGGGGGGGGTGTTCTGGGAAGGTCTTATGGGGGCCGGCTGGGAGGCTCGTGGGGAGCCTCTTGAGGCTACCTTTGGGGTCTCTGCGAGGCTTCTCGGGGCTTCTGGGGGTGCTTCTGAGGGGCCTCTGAGGGCTTCCCGAGAGCATCTGAGGCCGAGGGCTCGACATGTTCGTTCGGCTCCTCCTCCTCCTCCTCCTCCTCCTCCTCCTTCCTCCTCCTCCTCCTCCTCCTCCTCCTCCTCCTCCTCCTCCTCCTCCTCCTCCTCCTCCTCCTCCCTCTTCGAAAGTAATGGCCACCCTCCGTCGTGATTTTTTTCTCACGACGCGATAGGGGGCCTGGGGCCGCGGGCCCCCCCGTCTGGGCTCTTCCTTGGAGCCGTCTTGGGGGCCGCCTCGGTTGTGATCTTGGAGGCCTCTTCGTCGGTCCTGGGGCCTCGTGGGTCGTTGTGGAACTCTCTCGGAGGCGTCGTGGGCCATCTTGGGGCGGTGTTGGGGGCTTCGTGGCCGGTCTTGGATCATCGGGAAGGTGACAAGGTAACAACTCCGAAATCTGTGTAAAACGTATGGGGAATCGATGATTTTTGCCCCTGGAGGCCGTTTCGGAAGTCCTCGTGGAGGCTCCCTGGTGAGTTGTGGAAGCCTTTCGTGCCGTCTGGAGGTTAAACTGGCGCCTTCTACCAATACGTCATCGATATGGACTGGGAATGGTCTCCCGCGGGGGGTCCCAGGAATGGTCTCCCAGGACCCCCCCCGGGAGACCATTCCTGCCCCCCCCCCCCCCCCTTGCGGGGAAGGGATCAAAGGGAAGGGGCTTCCCTTCGACTCAGCTACAACGCTTCTCTTGGCCGCCAAACCGCCCGAGGAGGACCTGCATCTGCCCCGGGACCCCCCCCCTGGGAGGCCACCCCCGGGACCCCCCCCCCGCCGGGCGAGGAAGGGATCAAAGGGAAGTGGCTTCCCTTCGACTCAACTACAATGCATCTGTTGGCCGCCAAACCGCCCGATCCTCGAGGAGGACCTGTATTTGCCCCGGGATCCCCCCCCTGGGAGGCCACCCCCGCCCGCGGGACCCCCCCCCCCCGGCGGGGAAGGGATCGAAGGGAACGGGCTCGCTTTCCTTGGCCGCCTAACCGCCCGAGGAGGAGTCGCATCTGCCCCGGGACCTCCACGGGACCCCTCCCCGGCGGGACCCCCCTCCCCGGGAGCGATGCCCCCCACATCAAGCCGTGAACGTGCACGGACAACGCTCGGCTGTACGTCTACGCTCCCCGGGAGCGATGCCCCCGGGACTTCCACGGGACCCCTCCCCTCGGGACCCCCCCCCCCCCGGGGAAGGGATCGAAGGGAAAGGGCTTGCCTTCGGCTCAACTAGAACGTTGCTGAGACTCGACAGCCTCTTCCGCACGCCGACAGGGTCGGCGGATTCATTGGCTCCTGATCCAATGCCCTCACCGTACTTCAGCTGCCCAGGCCTCCCTCGTCATGGAAAGACCTTCTGGAGGTGCCAAGACAGATTCTTAATACGGTCGGGCTGGGGCACAATGTCGAGGTCGGTTCGGAGAGGGTGCTCTAATGCTCTTCGTGTTTGACGGATGTCCTTGTGCATCCGACATCCTGGGGAGATCTGGGGAGGTACCCTCTGGATGTTCTATGTTTTGGCTGGCGGAGGGTCTCATGGTCTTGAAGGATGTTCTTCTGTCCTAGGTCCGACCGTACTTCAGTTGCCCAGGCCTCCCTCATCATAAACGGATCCCCTGGAGGTGTCTGGGGACCGATTCTTCGAACGTGTGGCAGCTTGCGTCAGGCACTACCAAGTACCACGGGAGGTCGCCACCTCGCCCTGGGGGTTGGGGATCGAGGCGTAAGGGGAGGGATCGAGGATCCGACAGGTGTACGGATTTTTTAACGTTCCTGCGGGGGGTGCTCTTTCTTTCGGACTTAAAGATACCTGACGAATGAATCGTGATGGCCGGCTTTGTTTCTAAGCTTTTGCCATGTGGAGGCATGTTTCGGGCCTTGGGAACATCAATGCCTGCCCCGGGATGAACACCCAGTTCCCAGGACGTGGTCGAGAGATTTGGTGCCATTCAAGAAAAGCAGAGTGCCAGATGATTGAGCCCTCGTCGATCGGACAGCGCAGCTCTTGGTCCTAGCAGCAGCACGTGATTGCCTTCATTTCTAATCGACTTGTTCACATGATGGCCAGGCTGGTGAATAGTTTCGGACCCCTTGTGAGGCAACTCGAGATCAAGCGCCACGTCATCACGAACCAGTTGCGGGCCCACTGTGGGGCAAACTTGAGCCAAGCGCCGTTCGACTGCAAATCAGGAGCAGCAGTAAATCGATTGAGGATCCGTTGCCCACCAGTCCTAGCTCAACCGTGAATCAGCTGCAGCCAGGACGTCGGCGCACACGCTGGCGCGGCGGCGCGTGCTCCTGCCCTTGCTCCTGCGCCCTCCCCCCAAGACTGGGTGATGCCCAGCGCAGGGCAGGGTAGCGAGTAGCAGCGCCACCGCCCGCGCCTCCCCTCAGCCCACCTTCCGCAAGGGCCAGACCCCACCCTGGGCTCGGCGCGACACCCGGGCTGCCACTCGCGACGCGACCTGGGCGCCGACCGGCGCCACCGCAGCCTGGCGACCTCGGGCGTTCCGTCATGGGGGGCGATAAAGCCAGGGGAGGGGGGAAGAAAGGTAGGTATAGGAGGCTTGCGTCGTGTCGATTGGCGGCGACCCCGCCCTTGGCGTTCAACGTAGGGCGCCGCCAGCGACCCAGAATCGGTCGATATTGAACGATCTCACGCTCCGGGAACGGCCAACCGTTCAAGATGGAACGATCCCCGCAGTGTCAGGAACCGACGCCGGGGTCGCCACGACACGAACCCGCCGCACACCTTTCCTGCACCTTTGGGGACCCTGCCAGGCCCAAAAGGTGCACCACGGAGGTGCACGCCTGCGTGCCCCCCTCCGTGGACAGCCCCCCCACCCCCGTGCAGCAGCGCCCGATGACCGCGGCGACGGGGACCTCGCGCCGCGGCGCCTCAAGGCGCTGACCGGCGCCACCGCGGCACTGAGCGGCGCTTCTATCGCCGCGGCGCCTGCACGACCTCGCGCGCCGGGACGCCTGGGCGCCAGCCAGCTGGCCCTTGGCATCGCTCGGACGTGTGCGTTTTTCCTTCGGCGAGGACCATCGAGGAGCATCCTTGACCATTTGGGGGAAGAAGCCACGCACGAAACCGAAAAGAGCACAGGGAATGGACGTCCGAGCGATGGCCAGGGCCTCGAGCGGCGCAGCCGTCCCGTGCCACGCCGGGCGCGGAGCCCCCGCGGGGAGAGGAGCTGCCGCCCGGAGCTCGGCGGCATCCCGACGTAATTATTGACACCGTGCGTGCGTCGCCCCGCAGGGGGCGGCGCACGCTCCGAGAAATCCTAGATGCCTATAGTATATATGCTTCGTGGCGGGCGGTTTCTGGCCACGCCGCTCGGACATGCTACAAGATGGTTGTATCAGATGTCCGGGTTGGACGCGCGCCTCCGAGGAGGGTAATTACATAGCACGACCGTGGATGTAAGAAATTTGCGCGAAAGCAAATCATAACGTTGGAATTCGGCCCTTCAAAGAGAACGAGTGCAGTCCGTGTGGCTCGCGTGTTTTTTTTGCTCAAAGGTTCGGCGGCGCCGCTCGTGCCCAGCTTGGAACCCGCGAGCGTTGGATGGCGAATTCCCAATGTTACGAACCAGTTTCGCGCGAATTGTTTCCATCCATGGTGCGTAATGATGTTAATCGGGCCTGTCCCTCTACAGGGGGAATATTCAACAATAGTCCAAACATAGTCTGGGGACGACTTTCTTTACCATTTTTGAGCATCTGGGGGGTATGTTTTGACTATCTTTTATTCTTTTCGCCCAAAATCCCCCTGTAGGGGGGACAGGCCCGACTTCAGCGCAGTGAGTCCTTGCGCGTCCCAGGAACCTCCTCCCCGCCCCCCGCGCCCCTGAGCCGCCAAGGGGGCGTCGACGTCTCGGAGTTCACCTGGCAGGCGTTCGCGGACCTGTACGAGGAGGCCCCGGCGGCGGCGGGGGTCGCCGCGTTAGGTGGAGGAGGAAAAGCAAGAGGAGGAGAAGGAGGAGGAGGAGGAGGAGGAGGAGGGAGGAGGGAGGAGGAGGAGGAGGAGGAGGAGGAGGAGGAGGAGGAGGAGCAGCAGGAGAAGGAGGAGCAGGAGGAGGAGGAGGAGCAAGAGGAGGAGGAGGAGGGGGGGGGGAGCATTCTCTCCATCGGCGTCACCCCAACATACCAATACGATGTGTGCGTCGCCCACCCAGGGGCGACGCGCGCACCGAGGAACCTGAGAGTCTCTGCGTCGTGGCGGGCGCTTGCTGGCCACACCGCTCAGGAAACGATGCACTACAAGATGGGCATACTATATGTTCGGGTCGGACGCGCGCCTGCAAGGAGGACTACAGTACTAGTATGTCGTTGTGCGTCCCACTCCACTTCTACAGGGGAGAGGGCAGGAGCAGGAAGGATGCGGCAGAACGTAGGGTGCAGAAGGAGGGGGAGGGGAGGACCATCCGTATGGGGAGCAGGAGCGAGAGCGATGCTGGGACACGTCTGCAGAAGTGCAGGGATGCGAGTGGACTCGCAGTGGAGGAGCGAGAAAAATACAGGGGTATCTGAAAGTATCGCCTGCTTCTGCAAGGCCCCAGACGTTCGCACATGGCTAGGGCACGTCACCGTTGATTGTTACACGGCTGCGCCAGTGATGAGCAGATTTCTTCCCTCTTTTCGCTTTGGCCCAGCGCTTCTTCTGCAGCCTCCAGGAATCCAGCCAAGCTCCCCCTCCCCCCCCACCCCGCACGCAAGCGAGGCCGTATGCGCACTGTTGCCCCGACGCCATTTTGCGCATGTTGTCAGGACGCCGTTCTACCGCTTGTCCCTAACTGTGTTGAGACACATGCGCATGCCCGTTTGCATGTGTGTCTGTACATGTTGTACATGTCTACTTATCGGTGTACGTATAGACATATTTATACACATAACCTATGTATGCATATATCCATACGTATATGTATGTATATATATATATATATATGTATACATATTTACATTGATATATATATATATATATATATATATCTCCCGAAAGGGCCTCTCCGTCGAGAATCGAAGGAGTTGCGATCTCTTCCTCGGCGGAAGGCGGCGGACGGTCGGCGGCACGTGGCGGAAACAACGCGAGGCCACCCCCGCTGGCGGAGGCCGGCGGGAGGCCGGCGGAGGGCCGGCGGAAGCAAGGCGCGCCCCCGAGAGGTGGCAACCCTTCTGGGGCTCAGGGCTTCGGGGACCGGCCGTGTAGACACATCGAAGACGCCCACGGTCCGAGGCCCGAAAACCACCACTTCACTAATTTTAGGCCCCGGGGCCCATTGAGGCCCCAGGGGCCCCAGATTAGTGAAGTGATGTTTTTTCCCACGTAAGGACCCCGAAATTCATCACTTCACTAAACCGAACCCAGGACGAAAGTCAGGGGCCGAATTACTGCTGTGACGCCACATCGGCCTCGTACACGGGGCAGCCCCCGCCGCCCCCTGTCGCTTTCGAGAACGCCCGTGCGGCCAAGCATTGGGCCGAGGTCTGGCTATCTTGTTGGACTGTGCGTTCTCCCAGCCTTTTCGGAACCCCTTGGGAGGAAACTGGGGAAAGAAGGAGAAAGGAGGATGAGAGGGAGGAGAAGGAGGCGGAGCAAGGAAGCGGAGGAGGAGAAGGAGGAGGAGGAGGAGGAAGAGGAGGAAAAAGAGGCCTCTTGAGGCCGTCTTGTGGCTTCACGGAGGCTTCTTGGGAGCGGGCTTTCTGGGGCCTACTGGGGGCCTCTTGCGGGCCTTATTGGGCCGTCTTGCGGGCCTCGTAAAGGTCTTTTAGGCCGTCTTGCGGCGATCTTGGGGCCTATGGGGCCGTCTTGGGACGTCGTTAGCTCGAAAAGGTGAGAACGCTAAGATCATAGGAACACATGAGCAGAATCAACGATTTTGACCTCCTGGAGGTCCTCTTGGAGCTTGGGCCCTCATGGAGGCATCTTGGATGCCATCTTGGCTGTCTTGGAGGCGAGGTTTTCAGTTTTTCCCCTTTGCGCGTCCTTCCCGGTGGCTGGCGGGCTGGGCCGAAGGCCCACTAGACTAGACATTTTTAAAAGGACCAGAGCACTATCTAACATTTGGCACCGCGCACCCCTGAGGCAAGCCAACAGTGGGCGGCGGATCGAAGACGCCTACGGCGAATCACCGCCGCCCGCTGCCTTTTGGAATCGCCTATGTGGCCGAACGTTGCGGCCAGAACTCGGTGAAGCTATCGGACTGTGTGTTTCCCCCGCCACTGTGGACACTCCTCGCGGAAAACGTGGGGGAGAAAAACAAGAGGAAGAGAGAAAGGGCACAGGAGGAAAATGGAGGAGGAGGAGGAGGCGTCTTGGGGCACTCTTGGAGCCTCCTGGGAGCTGCCTGGGGGCCTCTTGGAGGCACCTTGGGGGCCTCCTTGGGCCTCTTGGGGGCCTTTGGGGGCTTCTCGGGAGCCTCTTTGCCCGTCTGAGGGCGTTCCTGGCCCGTCTGACGCCGTCGGAAGCCGTCGAGGGGGCCTCTCTGGGCCGATTTGGGCCCTCTTGGTGTACTCCAGGGCCGTCTTGGAGGCCATCTTGGGCGTCTTTGATGTCTCCTGGGCCGTCTTGGGGCCCTCTTGGGGCTGTCTTGGAGGCCTCTTGGGCCCTTCTGGGGCCATCTTGGAGGCCTCTTGGGCGATCTTTGTTTGGGCTCTTGGGCCGTCTCGGGCCGTTAGAAAGCCGGAAAGAAACACATGCTAACATCCTTCGAACAACCAAGGGCTATCAATGCTTTTGGCCTCTTCGGGCCTTCCTGGAGGCCCTCTGGGGGGGCCGGTTGGGAATCTCCAGGGATGTTGGCATTCGGCATCGCATCGCGAACCTTGTCTGTGACATCGAATTTGGCATCACAATCGCATTCGGTAACGTATAGTATTGTGTGGCCTGCGACGCGGTTGCAAACATTGTCTGGCATGGGTGTTGTGCTGCTTGGGCGGCTCGCAGGTGCACGAGAAGGGAATGTCTTCGTTCGAGACGAGCAAGGAGATCTCCCTCCAGCTCGTCATCATCCTGCTCATCCTCCCCATCCTCGAAGGAGGCAGGAGAGAGGAGGGAGCAGAGAGTAGAGAAGAGGGAAGGAGGGAGAGGAAGAGGAAGAGGAGGAAGAGGAGGAAGAGGAGGAGGAGGAGGAGGAGGAGGAGGGAGAAGGGAGGAGGAGGACGGCCAAAGAGGCTGCCAGCTACACTCGTGCTCCCTTGGCGCATCGTGAAACGTTTCATGCTCAGCATAAGGTGGTCTCCTTTCTGGCCTCCTGGGTCGGGCGCATCGGGCCTAAGGTGGCCGGCCTTGACTGCAAGCATGTGCCGCCAGGCAAGAGGGCCGTCTGTGAGCCCACGCCTGTGTTCGTTGTTCTCCCGCCGCCATCTGTAGCGGCGCCAGTTATCAGTCATGCCAACGTCGCCCTTGCCGCTTTGCAGAAGGCGGGGCGCAACACTCGCCGAGCCTCCCCAATCTCCTCGGGCACTGGTGCTAAGGGGCTACTCTGTGCTGTGTGCGGGCGGCGTCACTCTCTCCGCGAGCTCTCGTTCAGTGCGCACAGCGTCCCTCAGCTCCAGAATTCGGCCGAGGGACGCTGTTTGCAGCCCCGGCGTCCCAGGATCAGGAGGAAAAGAAACACACAGACACAATTAATCTTCGATTCCCCAGAAAATATGGGAAAATATGGGAAGTGGGTGGGAAGACAGAAACCCAGAAAATATGGGAAAATATGGGGAATGTTCTTATTTGTGTGTATTTATTTGTGTGTCCTGGGGCCCCTTCACAGGAGCCTCGTCAAGACCGGCCAGGCTCTCAGGCCGGAAGTCCTGGGAAGGGGGGGCTCGCCGCTGGCCCTCACCCGGGTGGGTCGCAGCCCCGGTGATGTGTGACACAGAAGCCTCGCTCCGGTGTTCCGATGCCCCCCTCCAGTTTTTGTTCAGAATCGAGGGGCACATCTCTCCTCGTCTTCCTTTGATAATCGTGCAGGGAGGAGGGGGAGGAGGAGGAGGAGGAGGAGGAGGAGGAGGAGGAAAAGGAGGAGGAGGAAGAGGATGTCCCCGTGCTCTGATACCCCCAGGGGCATCGGCCTCTCGCACAGGCCGGACGTTTGTAGGGGGGGTGTCCGGTGCCAGAGGTGTAGGGCCACGGGAACGGGAGGCAAATTCGCGAAGCCCGGCAAATTCAGGAGGGAAAGAAACACACAGACACAATTAATCGTCGACTCCCCAGAAAACATGGGAAAATATGGGAAGTGGGGGGGAAGACAAAAACATAGAAAATATGGGAAAGTATGGGGAATCCTCTTATTTGTGTGTATTTATTTGCGTGTCCCAGGGCCCCTTCAGACATGGCAGAGTTGGAACCTGGGGGTGACCAGCGCCCTCGGGGCGGGAATGCCCCCTTGGGCTCACGACCTGGCCTGAAGCAGGGCAAGAATCGCAGTCCGCTTCGTTTTCGGTTGCGGCGTGCCCGATCCAGGGATTCCACGCTGCAGTTCTGGAAGTGGAAGAGGAGGAGGCGGAGGAGGAGGAGGAGGAGGAGGTGGCGGAGGAGGAGGAGGGAGGGGGAGGAGGAGGAAGGAGGAGGAGGAGGAGGAGGAGGAGGGGGAGGAGGGGGGAGAAGGAGGGAGAAGAGGGGAGAGAGAGAGGAGGAGCAGGAGGAGGAGGAGGGAGGGCGGAGGAGGAGGAGGAGGAGGAGAAGGAGGAAGGAGGAGAAGGAGGAGGAGGAGGAGGAGGAGGAGGAAGAGGATGAAGGAGGAGGAGGAGGAGGAGGGGATGCTGCTGCTGCTGATGATGATGATGATGATGGTGATGATGCTGATGATGATGATGATGATGATGATGATGATGATGATGATCATGATGATCATGATGATGGTGATGATGATGATGATTATGATGATGCTGGAACGGCTAATGCTGATACTGCTGCTGATGATGATGATGATGATGATGATGATGGCGTTGATGATGCTGCTGATGATGATGGTGGTGATGGTGCTGGTGATGGTGGTGAAGTTGATATTGATATTGATGCTGATGTTGATGTTGATGTTGATTATGATGATGATGCTGCTGATGATGATGATGATGCTGACGATGCTGCTGATGATGATGATGATGATGATGATGATGCTGATGATGATGATGATGATGATGATTGATGATTGATGATTGATGATTGATGATTGATGATGATTGCGGGTGATGATGAGGATGAGGATAAGGATGAGGATGAGGATGAGGATGAGGATGAGGATGAGGATGATGAGGATGATAATGAGGATGATGAGGATGAGAATGAGGATGAGGAGGAGGGAGACGAGGAGGAGGAGGGAGACGAGGAGGAGAAGGTGGAGGAGGAGGAGGAGGAGGAGGAGGAGGAGGGAGGAGGGAGGAGGGAGGAGGGAGGAAGGAGGGAGGGAGGAGGGAGTAGGGAGGAGAGAGGAGGGAGAAGGCAGGGAGGGAGGGAGGAGGGTGGATGAGGAGGAGGACGACGGGGCTGCATGGAGGCAAATGTACACCACGCCCCCCGCCCGAAGCCTCGGGCAGCACCACGGGCACGACGCCCTGCCGCAACCTTCTTTCATACCTTCGTGATCCCTCGTCGCTTTTGACTATTTGAGATGTTTTGATTGTTCGGATCTCTTCTCCCAAAGCCCGCCAGTAGGGGACATGCCCGACCCAGTCCTGGAGACATCCCGCCCCACATGAGTCCCCATTTGTTCTGACCCCCCCCCCCGCCGCCATGGCTTTACCACGAATCCGGCGCCCGCGCGCAGATACTGCCCAATTGCGAGAACGCGCGCGTTCCTCTAGTTGCAGTTCTCGGGTCAGGTCAGCGATGACTGCGCTTGTGTGCGAACCTTGCCATGTGAACCATAGTCTTTGCTTACGTTGGAGAGCCTCAGGCTGGCAAAGCGCACCTACGATGTCACGTGTCCTCGATGCACACGTATGCGAACGGCAGAAGCGCAGCTCGGCGGCCTGATATGTTCGCCTTGGACGATTCAATGCGGAGTCCTGTGCTCCATCTTTGCCACTGGGTTGTGTAGCCTGCGCCTTGTGGCTCGAGTGACATTCGGAATCCTCGCCACGCGACCCAGGCAACACGAAACACTCCACCTTACACTTGTGTACCCGACCGCACGGAAATGCGCACGTGAGGACCCAGCACAGACGATGTCTTCTCGTTTCGACAAGTGCTATAGCCCTCAAGAGCTTGCTTTCAGGATGGGGAACTGTTGCGCACCATCAGGATCGTGAAGGCGCGGCATGGGATTGACGGTCTGCGTCGTCGTAGCAAGCACAGCGGAAGGACCATGAGGTGCAGAGTTTGGCTCGTAGTGCTGCACCTGTGGGCAAGCAGACATGAACGGAGCAGCGAGGAGCGAGGGTCGCTTGGCAGCAACGCGCATCGACGGGTTGGAGAGAACGCGAAGACAGGTAGGGAGGGAGAGTTGGGAAATCGGATCGAGTGTGAGAGTGAGAGAGAAAGCGAGAGCGAGAGAGAGAGAGAGAGAGAGAAAGAAAAAAAGCGAGAGCGAGCGAGTGAGCGAGGGAGACAAAGAGAAAGAACGAGAGAGAGAGAGAGAGACAGAGAAGAGGACGTGGACAGAAGAGAGCGAGAGAGAGAGTATATAGTGTGGCAGCAAGAGATAGAGAGAAAGAGAGAGAGAGACACACACACACAACATCCTGGCGAAGGACCCAACCATATGCAGTTGTGGGTGCCGCAATTGTGAATATCTTTTTCGGTGAAGCTCCCTATGGGGCCACGAAGAGCTGCACTGGGTGGGGGGGAACGCATGCGGGCGGTAGCACTGGGGCCGTCGGTGGAGCTCCCTATGGAGCCACGAAGCGTTGTATTGGGTGGGTGAAAATGCCAAATTGGGTGTGCGGGGGACGCATGCGGACGGTCCCACTGGGCGTTTCGGTGGAGCTCCCCATAGGGGCACGAAACGCTATACTGGGTGGGTGTATATGCCAAATTGGGTGTGTGGGACGCATGCGGACGGTCCCACTGGGGGCTTCGGTGGAGCTCCTTATGGGGCCACGAAGCGTTATATCGGGTGGGTGAAAACGCCACATTGGGCTGCCAGGACGCATGCGGGCTATCCCATTGGGGGCTTCGGTGGAGCCACCGATGGGGCCACGAAACGCTATACAGGGTGGGCGAAAATGCCAAACTGGGTGTGCGGGACGCATTCGGACGTTCCCACTGGGGGCTTCGGTCGGGCCTCCTATGGGGCCACGAAGAGCTGTACTGGGTGGGTGTAACTGCCAGATTGGGTGTGTGGGGGAGGCGCATGTGGGCGGTCCCACTGGGGGCTTCGGTGGAGCTCCGTATTGGGGCCACGAAACGCTATACTGGGTGGGTGAACATGCAAAATTGCGTGTGCGGGACGCATGCGGGCTGTCCCACTGGGGGCTTTGGTACACCTCCCTATGGGGCCACGAAGCGCTGTACTGGGCGGGTGAAAAAGCCAAATTGGGCGTGCGGGATGCATGCGGACGGTCCCACTGGCCAAGAAACGCTGTACTGGGTGTGGCGCACGCATGTGGCTTCCCCCATTGGGGCCTCCGATGGAGCTCCCTATGGGGCCACGAAACGCTGTAGTGGGTGTGGCGGACGCATGTGGCCACCCCCACTGGGGCCTTCGGTGGAGCTCCTTATCGGGCCACGAAACGCTGTACTGGGTGTGGCGGACGCATGTGGCCACCCCACTGGGGCCTGGGTATATGGCCACGAAACGCTGTATTAAGGTGTGGCGAACGCATGTGGTACCCCCATTGGGGCCGTACGTGGAGCTCCCTATGGGACCACGGAACGCTGTACTGGGTGTGACGAACGCATGTGGTACCCCCACTGGGGCCGTGCGTGGAGCTCCCTTTGGGGCCACGAAGCGCTGTACTGGGTGTGGCGGACGCATGTGGTACCCCCACTGGGGCCGTACGTGGAGCTCCCTTTGGGGCCACGAAGCGCTGTACTGGGTGTGGCGGACGCATGTGGTACCCCCACTGGGGCCTTCGGTGGAGCTCCGTATGGGGCCACGAAACGCTGTATTGGGTGTGGCGGACGCATGTGGTACCCCCACAGGGGGGCGGGGGGAGGGCACTGGAGGAGGAGACGCGGGGACCGTTTCTTCAAAACGAGGATCCAACACCACAGGATGGCTGGGAAAAAAGGCATGGAATGAATAGAAGGTGAAGGTGGAGGGGTGATCCGAGGAGGGGAGACCTCCGGTACATCCCACCACGGTTGTGGGCCAGAGGCCTTTGACGGACCTTTTCGGGTAGTGCGGAAGGCCTCTTGGGGCTCCTGGGAGGCCTCGTCGGGAACATGCTGGGGCGGCCTCCTCTCGCGACACCCTGAGGACCTCCCCGGGGGGCCTCCTCTGGAGGGGCCTTCTTGGGAGCCTGGGGGCGGTGTCGAGGGCCATCGCGGGGTGGAGGGCACGAGATGCACCGTGGGTCCTCATGTTCAAATCGATCAAGAGCACCAGGTTTGAACCAACAATCTCAGGACACGCCGGAGGGCGAGGGGCATCCAGCCGCGCCCCCCTGTGCCTGCGAACAAATCGCGCGGGGAGCGTCAAAAGCGCCGGGGGGAGCGCCCGAAAGTCGGGGCCCCCTGGGCCCCTCGACGAAGCTCCGCAGGGACTTCCGGAGAGATACGAGGGCTCTCCTTTTCGTTCCCCGTTGCACGGTGGCAGACAGGAGCAGTTTATGCAATTGGCCAAGCGTTGAGCAACATTGCGCGTGGCATATTCTGACGGGCGGGTACCTCGTCTTCCCTCTCCTCGTTGCCCGCCCCCATATCCGCCCCGCCCTCTGCTGCTGCTGCTGCTCCTGGTTCTGCTCCTCCATCTTGTCCTTGTTCTCATCGTCATCACCATTCCGCTCCGACGACGACGACGACCAGCACCGCCATCCTCCTGCATCCTTCCTCCTTATGAGCAGTTCCTCCTCGTCGCGCCACCAGGCGTGGCGGTTCAGGGCGGTCCAGGCGCTCCGCCGAAGAGGCACCCGCACAGCTTGCGATCCGGAAGGCTGTTGTTTTCTCGACAGTCTTAAGGATGGAGGGCCGCTGCTTTTCACAATGTGGCTCTCGCACCGATGCCGCGCACGTTCGTCTTCAGAGCTCTCAGATGCCACAATGACGAATGATGCAGGGCGGCTGCCCTTAAAAAGCGGCTCTCGCAGTAGTGCCTCTCACATTCGTCTTCCAAGCCGCCAACAGTCGATTGGATGGAGATCGTGTCCTTTTCAGACTGAGGCCCTCGTTCGAGCCTTCTTTAACAACTGCAACCAAATTCGTAAATCTCGCAACCGTCACAAGGATGGATGGCGGCTACTTCTCAGAACGGGACTCGCTCGAGACGTCCTCAGGGCTCACGGCATGCCATATACAAGTGTGCAACGGTTGCACGGATGGACGGGCGGTTCGCGTGTTTTTTTGGCCCGCTCCTCAGGGCAGCTCCTGTTCCAAGCGAGCTCCTCGCCGGAACGGCAAGCCCCTAGGGCCGATAGTCTTTCGGGGGGTGCTCCCCGCAATTGAAAGAGGAGTGCTCACCAGGGAATCGTGAGGATGGAGGGCGCAAGGCTGCACTACGGCCTTCCAGATGCATCCTGGGTCTGTCCTGACCCCTGGCCCCCCTCCTACCCAGCCCCTCATCCCCCTCCGATGGCGTTCGTCGCCGCAACTACGACGGCCACGACGACGACGACGACAACGAGCACGTCGACGACGACGACGACGGCCACGATGACGACCGCCCTCGACGACGACCACATCCAGCGACCGACGACGAAGGCCACGACGGCCACGACGGCAGGCGGCGACGGCGACGACCTCGAGCGACGGTCTCCAACGACGACGCCGCCGCCGACGACGAGCTCGAACGACGGCGGCAGCGGCGGCGAAGAACCAAGGCGGCGACGGCGGTGGCGGCGACGACCTCGAGCGACGACGGCGGCGGCGGCGGAGCTGCCGAGGTGTGGCTCCACGCCGAGATCCTGGGGCTGGACCACGTGCTGCTGCTGAGGGCCAAGCACACGGGCCCCGGAGGGCGCCAGAACGTCGAAGGATCGGGGGCTCGCAGAGGGGTGGTGGTCCCAAGGTGGGGCTGCAGTCGGCCCGTATCATAAGGATGCTCGATAAGGATGCAAGGGCCTTGGACGCCCATCTCGAAGCTTTTCGAGCGGGGCGCGGCCAACGAAGGTGGCCAGGGATGGACCGAGGAGGCAAGGATGCAAGGGTACCCTTGGGAAGGTTGCCCATCCTTACTGTGCGGGTTGAGTGTAGGCAGCGAACCCACCTGGATGCTCGCGTGTCCTTCTTCCAGGAGCTGTTCGGAGAGCCACGCTCCTCTAGCCCAGCCTCTGCCCCTGCCACGCCTTGGCGTCCCAGTCGGCCCACCTCTCGCGCCCTCGAGGATCGAGGATCGAGGGGGATCGAGGAGGACTGCGAGGATCGAGGATCGAGGAGGATCGAGGACCGAGGATCGATGATTATCGAGGATCGAAGGTCGAGTAGGATCGAGGGGGATCGAGGGGGATCCAGAGGGCCCCCGTCCTGCTCAGCCATCCCGCCTTCGTCCTCCTCCTCCTCCTCCTCCTCGTCCTCCTCCTCCTCCTCCGCCTCCTGGCCTGTCCTGAGGAGGAGGGGCGACGAGGAGGGCCCCAAAGCTGGGGCAAGGTGGAGGAGTCCAAAGGTCAGCGCTGACCTTTTCGTCGCGCGATGCGGCCGATCTTTTTTTTGCCCCAGCTTGCTTCCCCGCTCCTTCTCCCTGCGGCTGCTCCTCTCGTCTATCTCCTTTGTCCTCCTCCTTCCGTCCTCCTCCCCCATTTCCTCTCCTTCGCCATTCTCATCCGCCCTCGTCCTCCCTCCTCGTCATCCTCATCCGCCTCCCTCTCCTTTCTCCTCCTCCCTCCTGCCCCTTCTCCTCCTGTTCGTCCCCCTTCTCCTTCCAGTGGGACCCGCTTCTGAACCCAACGGCGGTCATTCTCTCCTTATTTTTAAGAGTGAGGGGGCCCAAACGGTCTCACATTATCCATGCGTCCCCCCAGAATGACCAGCCCGCCCCAGTCGGCCCGTCTCTCGCGCCCTCGAGGATCGAGGATCGAGGGGGATTGAGGAGGGCTGAGATGATCGAGCGGTGAGGATCGCGGATCGAGGAGGATCGAGGATCGAGCAGGATCGAGCAGGATCGAGGACCCAGGACCGAGAGGAGGATCGAGGATCGAGGATCGAGGATCGAGGACCGAGGACGGCCCGAACGGCCTCACGCTGTCCCGGCGCGCGCGTGGCCGGAGCGGGGCGGGGCGCGCGGGGAGGGCACGCCGGGAGGGCGCGCCGGGAGGGCGCGCGCCAGGAGGGGTTGCGGGGAGGGAGGGCGCGCGCGGGGGGGCGCCTGCGGGGAAGGCGCGAGCGGCGCGGGGAGGGCGCGGCGCTGGGCAGGCGGACTGCCTCTGATGGAGCGCCCGTTTGCAGCTCTCGGCTTCTCCCACTCCCCTTCCTCGCCCTCCTGGCCCCCCTCTCTCACGCCCATCCGCACTGGGCAGATGCAGGGCGCTGCGTTCTTGTTTCTCCTCCTTCTCCTCCTCCTCCTCCTCCTCCTCCTACTCCACCTCCTGGTACGTCCTCCACACCCTTCCCGTCCGCCCTGTCCTCCCCCATTCAGGTCCTGACCCCCTGACGTCCCCAAAGGCACCCAGGGGCCCCCGGAGGCACAGGAGATGCAGCATCGTGCCTCCGATCCTCGACCTTCGACCGTCGCGGGCAGACCGCGCCATCCGCCACCGCACGCGCGGGTCACGGGCGTGCCACGGTCTGGCCCGTGGACCCGTCGAGCCGGAGGGGGCCGGCAGCGGCAGCGGGAGCAGCGGGGACCCGATGCTTCGAACGAAGAGCCAAACATAGCGAACAATCGTGACCGCAGCCCTCGACCCCCTCTGCGCCTTCCTCGAGCCGGATCGATCTGCGAGCGTCTTGGCGTCGGGGGTGGCCGTCACGCAGCGGCGCTCTGGGCTCGGCCGTGCGCAAGCGCCACCTTCTCCTCCTCCTCGTCCTCCTCCCCCCCTCCTCGTCCTCCTCCTCCTTCTACCTCGTATCGCCTCCTCCCTGCTCCGCCTCCTCCTCCTCCTCCTCCTCCTTCTCCTTCACCTCCTCTTCCTCCTCCTCCTCCTGCTTCTGCTCCTGCTCCTGCTCCTTCTCGCTTGTTTCTCCTCCTCCTCCTCCTCCTCCTCCTCCTCCTCCTCCTCCTCCTCCTCCATTCCTTTTCCTTATGAATAACTTCTCCCTGTCGCACCCCGAAGCCAGTTCTTAGGGCGTGCCGGGCGTTTCGCCTGAGACTTCCTCACCATGTATGGCCCTGAAGCTTTGAAAATGACAACATGTTTACAAATGGCGGGTGGGTGGTTTTCAAAATGTGGCTCTCGCTTGAGCGCCACGCACAGTCGTTCTATAGCATTGCAAGAGTTCCACGGATTGAGGGCGAGTGGTTTTCAAACTGTGGGTCTGGGTCTCGCCTTAGCGCCGTGCACATTCGTTTCCAACATTTGCAAGAGCTTCACGGATTGAGGGCGGGTGGTTGTTTGAAAGGTGGTTCTCGCCTTAACGCCGCGCACACTCGTCTTAAACACTTGCAAGAGTTTCACACATTCAGGGCGATTCCATTTCAAAATGTTGCTCTCGTTTTAGCGCCGAGCGCATTCGTTTTCACAATTTGTAAGAGTTTCACGGATTCCCATGGTCAGCATACCAGAAATTGTGTTTTTGGAAGGATTCAGGATTATGAGGGTACAACAGTTGCGTTGATTCGCTGTGTTGAAGTCTCAGGCATGGTGTTCTGGCACGGTTCAAGATCGTCAAGACGCAACAGTCAAGTTGGCCCGTGGCGTTGGAATCCCGAGAACATTGTTCTGGCATGCGTCAGGGTCTTCAAACGGTTGCCTTCCAGCGAGGCAGTTCCCTCAGTGGAAGTGAGCCGTTGTAGGGGCCTATGGAGAAGGAGCTTGAAGGGAGGGTTTATTCCAACATCGTTGATGACTCTTGGGTTTCCATTGGTCCTCCTCCTCCTCCTCCTCCTCCTCCTCCTCCTCCTCGCTCCTCCTCCTCCTCCTCCCTCCTCCTCCTCCTCCTCCTCCTCCTCCTCCTCCTCCTCCTCCCCCTCCCCCTCCTCCTCCTCCTCCTCCTCCTCCTCCTCCTGGTAATTACGTCCCCAGGCTCGGCTGTGCGCAGGCGCCACCCTCCGCCGGAGCGGCCCGCGGTGCGCGGCGTCCGGAGGCCCCCTCGGGGAGGGGCACGGACCCGCCGAGCGCGCGGGCCGCCGCGGCTGCTCCGCATTGGGGTGGTCTCGGCGGCGAGGGAGGGGGTGAAGTGAGCAGGGGGAGGCCTCCTAAGAAAAGGCGGCGGGACTGCTCTCGGAAGCCCCTCGCGCCTCCCGAGAAGGTTCGTTGTCGTGCCTTCGGGGGAGCCTTGGGGACCTTCTCGGAAGGCCCGGGGGCCTCCGAGCCTTCTGCGGAGGCCCGCCCCCTCCCACTGCTCCTCGCTCCTCCCCCCCCCCCCCCCCTCCCGAGAAGTTTTTGTCGTGTCCTCGGGGGAGGCCTCGAAAACCTCTCGGAGGACCCGGGGGGCTGCCGAGCCTCCCGAGGAGGCCCGCCCCCTGCTCACCTCTGCTCGCTTCCCCTCTCGCGCTCACACCGCCCGTGGTCAGCAGGCCCGCGCGCCAGAGGTCGCCCTCGCCCAGGCTCGCCCCTGCCTTAAGTCGGGCCTGCCCCTCCTCCTTCTCCTCCTCCTCCTCCTCCTCCTTTTCCTCCTCCTCCTCCTCCTCCTCCTCCTCCTCCTCCTCCTCCTCCACAGGAGGAACAGATTTAAAAAAGTCGTCAAAGCATAGTCTGGGGATGATTGTTCTACTACTTTTGGGTACTTTTTGGGACATGTTCGATTTCTCGTCCAACGTCCGCCTGTGGGAGGGCACGGCCGACCCGACCAGTGCGTTGGGCCGACGGGCGACGATGCATACACTGGATGCCGTGTGTGCTCGTGGGCGACGTCGCCGTCACGAAGGTTCGTCGGCCCTCCTCTCCAGAATCTCGTCCCAGCTGCCGAATCGTTCCACCCCACCCGCGTGTGCTTGCGCTTCCTTGTCATCCTGCACTTCGCCAAGCCCACGTTCTGCCGACGCGGCGGCGACCCCGGCGCGGGCGATCAAGACTGAACGTCTCCAGTGGCTCGGAATCGGCCGATGCCGAGCGACCTCGCGGGATCGGAAAGTCGCGACCTTCCCAGGCTGAGCGAGCCACGCGGTGTCAGGGACGAGCCCAGAAGCCATCACGAGACGACCTTGCCGTGCCCACGTGCAGGCTCACGACGGACGGCCAGGAACTTTGGCTCAGCGTGTCCCGCCGCCGCTCGGCAGCGGGTGCCTCGGAAACCCGCTGACGGTTGCCACTCTGCGGCATCTCGCGTGGATTGCGGCGTGGCCCGGCATCGGGAAGGGTCGGGTTCGCCAGGTCGCTGGCCAAGGTGCCCGTTCGTCAAGCCCCCCCCTGACTCCAGAGCCGCCCTACTTTGGCTTTTTTTCCAACTTAAAATTGCGTCGGAAACCCACCTATAAAAAGCCGAAACAGTAGGGCGGAAATTTCTGCACCCCACATAAAGTAGGGCGAACATCCACAGAAGTAGGGCGGAAACAACAACAGAAAAGTAGGGCGGAAATTGGCACCAGCGGGGCTTGAAAAGTAAGGCGGAAATTCCAAGCCCTATTTACGGATTTCCCCAAAGTAGGGCGGATCCGGAGTCAGGGCCGCCAGGGGGGCTCCGAGCGAGTATACATAGGGCAAGGTCTCGATAACCGAAGGACGAGTCGAGGGCGAGCGGCGGCGGCGGAGACGTGGGGATGGGGCGGAGGCGGGGCGGCGCCCGACGGCGGGCTCCGCGCCCACGTCGGCGTTGAACGCGCCGCGGCGGGCCGCGGCCGCGGCGCTCACCCCCCTTGTGCCCGCTCCCACGCTCCCTCCTCTTCTGCCGCTCTCTACCCCAAGCGCACGATCCTGGCAGAAGGCCTTTACTCCGGATTCCATAATAAAGTCGGGGGGGTCTCATTTCGGGGGGGGGTCTCTTCCAGGCTATCTTGGAGGGACTGGGGGGTCTGGGGACGATGCTTTGGAGGGTTCTCCCACGGGGGAGGTCTGAAATGGCTTGTCTTGGAGGGTCCAGACCCACTGCTTTTTATTACGAAATCTGGAGTACCTATTCTGCTTAGGTTCTGGCCACCCAGACGAGACAAACGACACGAGCATTCGGTTGCCAGCTCTTTTTCAGCTGGCTAGTACAATAACAGCCACAAGCAGTACATAACAAAACATTACTATCAGGCCAGAAGCAAAGCTGGTGGGATCCGTGCACTTCCATCGGGCGGCAAGGCGTCCCCAGGAAGGCCGTGAGCTCGCTGGCTTTGGCACGGCACCCACACTTACGGCACTGACCGAAATCGCCCGCTATCTGTGGGCAGCTGTGATCAGAGGTGAGAGCTGCAATTCTGAGCTTAGCTCGAGTTTTACGCACACGATATCTGGGTGGCCTGGGAGGGCGCTTGCCCTCCTTATCCAACACATCACTCATGACACTGAGGAGCTGAGTCTGAACCTTGCGAGTGATCGTATCAGCCATCTGAACCGACGCACTCACCGCATAGGGAACCTTGACGTCCTCCCCAAAAAGCTCCAGCAATCTGATCAGCGATGGCATTGGTCACGACAAAGCAAGGGTTGAGACCCCTCTCGAGAGCCTCCTTGACGTCAAGGTGGCTCGGCACACGGACCAGGAGCAAGTCCTTTACTCGAAGCAGCTCACGCACGCGAGCCCACAAATCGCGGCGGCTAAGCACACGGGCGCTCAAACAAGCAGCTCTGCGAGAGACCCCTCGGGCAACATAAGCCGAGCCAGCAACATAGCCTCACTGGGCACCCTCGGGGCTCTGCCCCAGAAGCTCCAGGAGGGCCCAGAGCTCCGCACGGTTGACGCTTTGCTTCCCCGAGATGCCTCCTCCAGCGACAAGGGCGAGATTCGACGCAGCGACCGAAATTGGGAGCTCCTCTGAACTTAGCCCAAAAACCGCGACGCCCCAAAACACCCGCCTGAGCCTACGGTCCCTCGAAAACTCCCCCCCACGAGCGTCCCCCGCACCCCGGATGCGAGACCCCTCCGCCTGGGGAAAAGGCACCCGAAGCCGCGAAGATAGGCGAGCCGGAAGGAGGGGGAGCGTGGGTCCACGACTTAGGGGTGAGGCCGCGGAGCCAGAGAACAGGACACTCTTCGGCTGCTGTGGCCTCGTCGAGCAAAGGCCTCCAAGATTGTAGTGGCCTCTGGCCAGTGCCGCCGATCCGGGACGCTTCCGTTGCTGCCAAAAGCGCGCGATGGCGGTCATGACTGGCGAGGACAGGACACTCTTCGGCTGTTGCGACCCCTCGTCGAGCAAAGGCCGCCGAGATTTCCTGAAACTCCGAATTGCAAGGACATCAGTCTCTGCCGATAACCCACAGCGCGGGCACAAGTCAGCACAATCTCCACCCGCGCTACTGATGCGAGGGCAGGTCCACACTGCACCGGTGAGAATGGCCCGCAAAAGGCCAGCCTGCTTGACATCTTGTCTCCGCAAGCTGGCCAAACGACGACGAGCCACCGTGAAATCTATGCCTTCCTCGGCGCCGAGACCACTGTGGAATTTGGAGGCTCTTGCCCAGAGATGGGCTTCAATCGAATTCGCAACTTCCTGTTTGAATTCGGAGGTCATATAAGCCACAGCGCGGAGCTCGTCGGGGATAGCGAACACATCTCCCGAGGGCGCCGTCGATCTCCACGGCCCCTCTAAAGTTCACCCCAGGCCTAGCATCGTGGCGACGACGGCCGAAATAGGCCCCCGAACGTTGCGCCACCGAGGCCCCCAAGTCATGAATTCTTTGAACCGTTTCCTGCCAGCAGCGGTGCATTAGTGGAAGATCGTGGTCCGAAACCCTGGACGCGACTTGGAACCAGGACTCCAGAATCGAAAACACAGAACTGAAAGCGGGACCATTGGGGCCAACCTCTAACGCCAGGATCGAAGCGAGGCATCTACCATCCGTGCCCCTGGCCAAGGTGCTCGCAAGAGGCCGATGCCAAACACCCCCCAAGCTTACGAGGCTTGGAGGAGGGTTCCCGTGAGAACAAGCTTAGGCCCCACCTTACGCGGGGCAGCTCGCGCCAGCTTGTTGATGCGAGACAAGCGCGGATGCGCCTGGGCAAAGCGCTTAGCATGGCGAGGCTTGGAAATTTTCACGCCGCTGCCGCGTTCTATGCCCAGGTCAGCGGCCACCGACGCGACTTCGGCGACGACGCCGCTCGCACCCAAGCCGGCTTGGATTTCTCGCACCGCCGGAAGTTCAGACGCGATGGCGGTGGATTTGGACGCTAGCTTTAAACACTCTCCCTCGCGCCCTCGAGCAAAGGCGATCCCCGCACGCACGAGGTGGTCCACGACATCGCGGCGAATCTCCTCTGCTCTCTGGGTGACGTCGTCGAATCCGCGGTCCCATGTGCAGGAGGGCTTCGAGAGGAAAACACAAGGCAGGGAAGTCCAAATCAAGGGCGTACGCCACTTGAGGGCTCCGAGCTAGGAGGAGGAGTAGGGCTCGGAGGAGGACGGGGAGGACGCGGAGGACCGAAATACCAGTGTCCAGAAGGTCGTGCGTGCCCAGCTGGCACCTCCACCCGTCACGCGTTCGCGCGACGAGCGACGAGCGACGACGACGACGACGACGACGACGACGACGACGACGACGACGACGACGACGACGACGACGACGACGACGACGACGACGAGCGCGCCCTCGACGACGACGACGGCGACGAGCGCGCGCTCGTCAGAAAGTGCCTCGACTTCGAGGCATCGAGGGGGCCGGCACCTCTGCAGCGGCGGGCGCCGGCGGAAGCGGAGCGGGGGCGGCCTCGCCGGCGGAAAGCTTTGGCGGGAGGCCCTGCGGAAGTTGGCGGACGTAAGAGTTGCGCCCCCAAGAGATGTCAACATTTTGGAGACTGTTTTTTTAGGGTCGGGCGATACAGTCGGGGCCCTGAAGAAGGAACCCTTTTCGTTGGGGAGGGGCTCGGTGTTCCTTGCTTGTGCTGCAGTGTACCTTCGGTTCTCCTGAGGTTTCCCATGGGAAATCGAAGTTCAACTTATGGGAGAAAGGGGCCTCGTTCCTTATTTGGGGTTCCTTAGGTCAACGCCCCGATTGTAACCCGGGTTATCGGGCTTGTCCCCCCCCCTCCTCTCCCCCCCCCCAGGATCACCTAACCTTGCCGGTTGTGCAGGTCCGCGGGGAGGGAGGCGCGGGCGGGCTGCCCACAGCGTGAGGGTCAGGTTATCGGCCGGACCCCTCCTCCTCCCCCCCCTTCCTCCTCCTCCTCCTCCTCCTCCTCCTCCTCCTCCTCCTCCTCCTCCTCCTCCTCCTACTCCTCCTCCTCCTCCCCCCCCCGGGATATCCCGAGTTATCGCCGATTCAAAAAAAAATGTCTCTTGGGGTGCAGGACTTCCAAAACCGACCAGATGCAGCGAGGGCGAGGAGGCCAAAAGGGAAGCGAAAGGAGGTCGGGGGTCCAGGTTGTTGGGCGTCATCGGTTCTCGTTCTGCCCCTGGAGGCCTCTTACAAACCTCCGAAGAGTGAGGAGGAAGAGGAGGAGGAGGAGGAGGAGGAATAGGAGGAGGAGGATGAATAGGAGGAGGAGGAGGAGGAGGAGGAGGTGGAATATCCGTTCGCCGCCTCATGTCCCGACCCCCAGAGGCCTCTGGAGGCTCCCCGAGTCCAAAAAATGAGTCCCAAAGACACGCCCGAGTCCCCAAACGCGCCCTAAAGCCAATCGACGTCACCCGAAAACCTCGCTCACCGATCCTCGAGGGAGAGCAGAGCGGAGGACGCCGTGCACGTCGGAGGTGCACGTCGGACGTGGGAGCGCCATCTGCCCTCGAGAGTCGGGGGCAAGGCTGGGCATCCGCGGCAGGGGGGCCCCGCGGAGGCAGCAGCAGCTCGAGGCAGCAGCAGCAGCAGCAGCAGCAGCAGCAGCAGCAGCAGCAGCAGCGCAGGCAGCAGCAGCGCAGGCAGCAGCAGCGCAGGCACCAGCTCGAGGAGGAGGAGGAGGAGGAGGAGGAGGAGGAGGAGGAGGAGAGAGCGGAGGAGGAGGAAGGATGCGCATGCAGGAGCAGTGGCTCCTCTTTGAAAGCGGGGGGCAGAGTCGCCACGACGTGCAATTCAGCCAGACGGCAAGGATGGGTTCAACCTCCCAAGGGCACGCTTGCATCTCGGCCTCCTCTGTCCATCCTTGACCACTTTAGTCGCCGCGCCCCGCGCGAAGAGCTTCGACATGGGCGTCCAAGGCCCCTCCTCTCCTCCTCCTCCTCCTCCTCCTCCTCCTTCCTCCTCCTCCTCCTCCTCCTCCTCCTCCTCCTCCTCCTCCTCCTCTCCTCCCTCCTCCTCCTCCTCCTCCTCCTCCTCCTCCTCCTCCTCCTCTCCTCCTCCTCCTTCTCCTCCTCCTCCTCCTCCTCCTCCTCCTCCTCCTCCTCCTCCTCCTCCCTCCTCCCTCCTCCCTCCTCCCTCCTCCCTCCTCCCTCCTCCCTCCTCCTCCCTCCTCCCTCCTCCCTCCTCCCTCCTCCCTCTCCCTCCTCCATCCTCCCTCCTCCCTCCTCCCTCCTCCTCCTCTCCCAGGGGGGGGGGGGCTCCCCAGGGCCCCCCCCCCCGGGGGCGGCGAGGAGGCCCCGCCCCTGCGAGGGGGGCGGGGCCTCGCGCTCCCCTCGAGGAGCAGAGGCCGAGCACGGGCACGAGGCCAAAGGGGGGGCCTGAGGCACCTGGGCCCTGCAGGCCTCTCACCGGCAGGGCTCGAGCTGCACGGCGTCGGCGCTCAAGATCGGGGGCGGCAAAGAGGGGGGTGATGACTAGGGGGGGGGGTGGATATCATGGCGTGGGCCATGATATTTCCCCAGATTTCACGGCGCGTCTTCTTATTTCATTACGTCCCTGGCCCCCCCCGCTGGGCCGCGCACATGCCGCCGGCCATGGTTCGCACCCCCCCCCCTCTTGGACGCCCCCCTCTTGGCCGCCCCCGACAAGAGACGGGGGTCAATGCAAACGGGGGCCAGCCAGCGCACCGGATCCTGCAGGATCCTGCGAAGAACCCCTCTGGCTGACCCGGGTTGGCGAGCCGCTCGTGGCCGCGAGGCGGCCGCGCATATTGGCTGACCCGGGTTTGCGAAGACCTGCGTTGCAGTTTTTGTTTCCTGCATTGCAGTTTTTGGTTTCCTGCTGACCCGGGTCTGGATTGACCTGGGTCAGAAGATCGCCGACGGTGTTTTGGCGATGTCGTGGGCCGTTCTCGTCTTGGTTTCGTTTCGCAGCAGAGGCAGAACGATGACAGAAGGGAGAAGAACGCAAGCAACACAAAGCTCTTGACGCTCCGCGTATCCCCACCGGCCCATCCAGAAACGACGCCCATGAGAGCTGACGGGGGGAGAGAGGAAGAGGCACGCATAGTCAGCCCATTCAGAAGCCCTGGGGCGTCTGTATGGGCTGGCCATCTCGAGCCGTCTTGGAGCGGTCTTGGGGCCTCTTGGAGCATCTTGGGATCCATCTTGAGCCAGCTTGGGCTATCTTGAGCTATCTTCGAGGTCATCTTGGGCTCTCTGAGGCCGCTCGGGGGCCTCTTGGGGGCCTGGGCCTCTTGGGGCGCTCGTGGAACCACTTCAAGAGGTCCTCTTGGGGCCATCTTGGAGGCGGGTGGTCAAAAGAGGGGGTCCTCGATTGAGGCCCCCCCCCCCCTGGAGGGCCACGATTCTCGTGAGGGGTGGCAATAAATGGCCCTGAGGGACGAGGAGGACGAGGACTAGGACGAGGACTAGGATGAGGACGACGCGGACGAGGACTCATGGAACTAGAGGTATTGTTGCGGCTGCTGCTGCTGCTGCTGCTGCTGCTGCTGCTGCTGCTGCTGGTGCTCTCTGGGAGCTTTGGGAGCCCTCTTGGAACCTTCTTCGTAACCCTGGAAGGCTTCTTGGGACCATCTTGGAGGCCATCGATCAAAGGATGGGGGGGTCCCCAACTCAGCCCCCCCTCCTCGGGAGCCCGCAAACCGCTTTTTGGGACTATCTTGGAGCGCTCTTGGGCGCTTTTGGGGCCGTCTTGGGGCCCTCTCGGGGCCCTCATGGAGCTCTCCTGGGGCCCTCTTGGGGCTCTCGTGGGAACCCTGGAGGCCCTCTTGGGGCCATCTTGGAGGCTCTCGATCAAAAGAGGGGGTTCCTTTATCTCCGTCCCCCTTCTGAGGCCCTCAAGACCGTCTCTTGGGTCGCTCTTGGGGCCCCCTGGGAGCGCTCTTGGGCGCTCTTGGGGCCGTCTTGGGGGCCTCTTGGGCCCCTCTTCGGGCCTTCTTGGGCCATTTTGGGGCCGTCTTGAGGCCCCCAGAAGCGCATCGGAAGCGAAAAGGAGAGAAGGCAAACATTGCTGATTTTCTTTAGGTTTTGAAGGATTTTGGCTTTCCGGGTCCTGAGGGGTGCTTGAGGGCACCTGGAACCGTCTTGTGGCCCTCGTGGGGCCTTTTGGAGGCATGTCAGAAGCTGTCTTGAAGCATCTTCGCCTGTCTTGAGCCGTCTTGAAGGCCATCTTGGAGCATCGGAGGCCCTCTTGAAGCCATCTTGTTCTATCTTGGACGCTCCAACCCCTCGTGGACCCCCCCGTCTAGATCCAGGGGAGGGGGCAGGGGGAGGGGTAAACCCATCCCCGAAGGGGAAGTAGGGGCTGTGGAAGAGGGCAGAGGAATCTCGTTAGGCCACCTGTCGCCCGAGGGGCTGGTGGGACTGAAGAGCCCTCTTCAGCTCGAGCCCTGCTCACCGGTCTCGGCCTCGAGGGGGGGGGCCCTAGCCCGGGCTCCGGGAGCGGCAAGCATAGGGCGCGGGACGAGGCAACGAGCCGGCCCCGGGGGGATTAAGCCCTGCGGTGCAGGACCCGGCCTCTCCCGTGACTCCTCGTCGGCGGGCGCGCGAGGGGGGGATATGGAGAAGGCCTTCGGCAGGGGTGGGGGGGCCCGGAACGAAGCACCTCCAGAGGTTGCGCGGACCCCACCTGGGAGGCCTCCCTCCTCCCTCCTCCCTCCTCCCTCCTCCTTCCTATCCCTCCCAGCTCCTACCCCTCCTCCCTCCTCCCTCCTCCCTCCTCCCTCCCTGGGAGGCCTCCCTCCTCCCTCCTCCCTCCTCCCTCCTCCCTCCTCCCTCCCAGCTCCGGGGACCCCCCCGCATCCTCCAGGGCGCTGGGCCCCTGCGTGTCGGGCACGGGGCCGGCGTGCATCGCCCGGGCCCGGCGGCCGCGCCGGCGCCGGCCTGGGCGCCCTGCTCGCGGCACAGCATGCCCGCTCGGGCCGCGGGGGCCTCGAGGGCCGGCGGCGAGCGGCGACGGGGGGGAAGTGAGAGGAGAGGGCCTGCTCTCGGGGGTCCCCACACGGGGTGGTGACCACACCGCGCGGCGAGTCGGTGGGGAGTCGGGGTCGCCGCGCGGTTTTGGGGCGCCGGGCGCGGGCCGTTCTCCGAGGAGGTACCGGGCGGCAACAGGGGCCTCCGGGGTCCCAAGGCCGTGCGGTGACGGACCGTGCGGTGAGGTCTTGGGGGATTTCCAGGTCACCGCACGGTCTGTCACCGCACCGTTTCGGGACTCCACATTCTCGGAGGGGCGGCGGGGCTTCTCGGGAGCCCTCGCGCCTTCGGAGAAGTTTCCCGCGGCTTCGGGGGAGGCTCAGAAATTGTCTCGGAAGGCCGGGGGGTGCTTCCGAGCTTTCTGGGGAGGCCTGCTCCTTCTCGCTTCCCCCTAGAGGGGCTCGCCGCCGAACGGCTCCTTCCCTTCATGCCATCATGAGAACTTCCATACCAAGCAGCCATGAACAGGTGTTTGCACCCACAAGCTGCCCCCCACATGCCAGACGCCAGTTTGGCCCTCCTTGGCGATGCGCTCGTCCTTGCCAGGCCAGTTTCCTTGCGCCCCGAAGACGTATCACGGCGGACAGTTTCTGGCAGTGTTCGGTCTCTGGGGGGCCCGTGCCAGGCAACAGGGCCGTTAAAGTTAGAAAGTCCAGGGTTTGCTGGGGATTGGTTTCCTTCGAAAAACTCTGTGGAAACCCTCCGAAAACCCTCCTGGAAGGGTTCTGGGATGCTTCTCGGAGGGTTCCTGGAGGGTTTTGGAAGGCTTTTCGTCGTTTGGGTGGGACGCCAGTCCCTAGCGAACCAAGGCTTTCCAACTTTAAAGAACGACCCAGGGTGAAGAAGCAGGTGCCCTGTGGCTGGGGGAGGTGGTCGAGGCCTTCGGGGGGGCCAACACTGTGAACAAATCACGGCGCCAGGGGTCGTGGGTCCTCCTGACCTCGTTCTCCTCGACCTCGTCCTCATCCTCTTCGTCATCCTGGCCCTCCTCCTCGTCGTCTTCCTGATCGTCGTGATCGGCATCCTGCTCTTCATGGCCCTCATCCTCCTCGTCCTTCTCTTCGTCCTCCGCGTCCTCATAATCAGGATCACAGTCCTCATTCTCATCATCACGTCATCATCATTGTTCTCCTCTTCCTCGCGCCCACTGTCCTCCTCTTCCTCCTCGTCCTTCTCATTGTCATCGCCCCCACTCGTTTCTCCATCGTGCGCCTGGCGCTCCTCGTCCTCGTCACCCTGTCGCTCCTGGCCATGACCGACCGACCTCCTCCCCCCCCGCTCGCCTGTACTAATGGAGGGTGACGATTAATAAATGACCGGGGGTCGTGTTCACGCGGCGGCTCCGGGGATGACGATTAGAAAAAGCCGGCTGCGGGCTGGAACATCATTTTTACCTAACAGCGAAGACTGATAGGTTTCTAGTGGTCTAAAAAGAGCTCACAGATCACTCCACAGGGGGGTCCGGGCAGGTGTTGGGAGTTGCCGGGCGGCAGGGTGCCCATCTCGTTTTTCACCAACAGTCACACACTTCGTGCTCTTCGAGTTCCCAGAACTCCATTCCTAGGCTCATTCTGAATAACCGGATGCAACAGTCACACACTTCGTGCTCTTCGAGATCCCAGAACGCCATTCCCGGGCCACCTTTAGAATAACCGGATGCAACAGTCACACACTTCGTGCTCTTCGAGTTCCCAGAACGCCATTCCCGGGCCACATTCTGGAATAACCGGATGCAACAGTCACACACTTCGTGCTCTTCGAGTTCCCA